AATCACTTTCTAGTTGTCAAATTCAAAAAAGCTAATACAACTCAATTTGGTTAGCTTTGTAGTACAGTACGTGGTATTTAAATTTGGGTACGAAAGGGTCTGATTCTCTCAAATATACACGCCTAGGTTGGAATAAATACTTCATTTAGAAAGTAGAATACGTAATCTGGAACTGTTGGGTAATTTTCTTCTTTTCTGATTTGATATTAGATAAAATATAAAGTTTCATTGTTATATACTAATTGTCTTTAGCTTGTTATCAAGAAGGTTGTCATTTTAGTTCTGTATTTTTTTTTTTTTTAAATATGCGACAATCATCTTTTGCTTATAGACATGGGGGAATTTCTTTTGCGGTTCTTATAATGGGCATGAACTATCTTACTTGCTTGATTGCTGGTGGTAGCCTATTATACGAGACGACAAGGGGTGTTATGCCTGCATGGAATATGGTGAATATTTAGTCCCATCGGTCTTGCTGTATTTAGTGTCTTCAGTGTCTAAGCGTTAATAAGATTGAAAATAGGATTTCTACATCAAATACAAGAGAGCAGACAAAAAAGCAATATATAAAGTGGATGTGAAGTCAAAAGTTTTGGTTTTTGTTGGGTGCAAGGTCTACAGAAAACCCAGGATGAAAGATAGTCATTAACATGAATAATTTGTCCTCTTATGTGTAGTAAAGATTGAAAAAAAACAAGTACTAGCGATCCGAACCACAAAACGAAACCCGATATTTGGTAACACATTGGTAATAGCAAATGAATTATTCATCTTAGGAAGTATAGTTTTTTTAAACCATCAACCAAACGCTCCAACGCTCCCCAGCTGCGATATAATCTTTCCTGTATAACTTTTAAATGCGTAGATATTTTTACAGCTGGTGATAAATATGGTTTTAATTGCATATATATCAATAATCACTTACACTTTAATGTAAGTTATATCCCTAAAAATATTGTTCATAAATATTCCAGTATTTAAACTCATTCAACAGACTAGAGCATTTGATGGCAAAGATATATTGATAGACTGTTCATGTATAAAACTTAAAGTGACAGGCAGTGATGCTTTCAAGAATAATACTAGTGCATTAGGTAATTTTCAAGAGAGAGGAAAATCCGGTATGCTCTTACAGCAAAATATGTACAATGGGGTAAAGATGATGATATCAATTCGTGAATAATTTTTTCCATTGAATAATATGATCCATACATTTGATATCATTGTGCCATTACTTTCATCAGATGTGTTTCATTGTGATGACCATTACTTTCATCAGATATATTTCATTGTGATGATCCACACTTTCATCAGATATATGATGACCCACACTTTTATCAGATATATTTCATTGTGATGATCATTAATTTCATCAGATATATTTCATTGTGATGATCATTAATTTCATCAGATATATTTCATTGCGATGACCATTAATTTCATCAGATATATTTCATTGCGATGACCATTAATTTCATCAGATATATTTCATTGTGATGATCATTAATTTCATCAGATATATTTCATTGCGATGACCATTACTTTCATCAGATATATTTCATTGCGATGACCATTAATTTCATCAGATATATTTCATTGCGATGACCATTAATTTCATCAGATATATTTCATTGCGATGACCATTAATTTCATCAGATATATTTCATTGTGATGATCTATATTTTCATCAGATATATCTCATTGTAATGAGCCTCATCAGATAAATCAATAAATGTGATGACATATGTTTTCATCAGATATATCTTATGACCCACCCTTTCATCCTATATATATCTTTGTGATTTCATCACATGTACATAATTGTGATGACCCATACTCTCATCATTCATCAGAGGTATCTCATTGAAATGATCTATACTTTTGTGAAATATACCTCATTGCGATGAGCAATACTTTCATCCTATATATTTCATCGTGATGACCAATACTTTCATTAGATGTATATTATTATGATGACCCATATTTTCATCACATCTCTTTGTGATGCTCCATACCATCTGATATATCTAAATACTATGCTCCATATTGAATAATTTCATATTTTATTGATCTTTATCTGGCAGGTTCAACTTTTACTCTTCTTGCTATTCGCCGATAAATCTCATTATGGCGGCGAAGACAGTGGCAAGCAACCCCCCCCCCCCCCCTGCTTTCACATCACAGCGCCGAAATCAGAAATTCGGCAATCTCATACATTTCGCCCCGTACGCCTGGCCCCGTCACTGAGTAAAGTGACACCAATGAAACAACGAAATTCGATGTGTGTCATATCATATCACACCATACCGAAGACTTCGGACAATATTCAAACACACAAAGAAAATACTTGAAATAATTAGTTATGATTATGAAATCTAATGGAAAATGATCGTAACTGACGTTAATTTGGAATCAACCCTACCGCCCGTTATGTAATTCTCATAAATAGATATAATATACAATAAACAATATCAGATATACATTAGGGGATTTGTTAGTGTATTATTAGTATGATTCGGTGTCAAACGATAGAGGGTAGAGATGGAATGTTTTGTTTAAAATTTTGCTTGATAAGATTTATGTCGACATATTTTTCTAGATGACCTTAAATAACATCCTTAAAACTACAAAACCTGTAATCGAATAACCAAGAACCATGGTTATAGGCACAGATTCTTCAATCGTTTTACCAATCGTACCGTAGGATGAGCCTTCGAATGCGTGTCCAGAATCATCCGTCTTTTCTTGATACTTCGCCATATACAGAAAATAAATATATAGAAATAGAAAATGAAATTCATAGTTTTAATTATATTTGAAGGGATTATGCGATTTTCGTACAGTTCTTATTTTTCTGAAGACTATTTATCTATATTCAAGAATTAAATCAACCCTCGCAAATGGCGAAACGCGGCCTTTTAACGTTAAGTGTGGAATTACATACTTCTTTGACGACAACAAGAAGCTTGTTTTAGGACTATTTATAATATTATACATGTATACCATACACCCTTACATAGAATCGGACAGAAAACGATGTTTATATCTTCTAATGGAAAAGAAAATACCATAAATTTGCAGTGCTGACCATTGAAAGTGCTTGAGTGCAGACACGAAGGACAAACATTTTCCTCCAAAATTTTGTGACCAAAGAAGCTTCAGGATGTTTCAATGACATCAATACCTGTTGCTTATTCAGTCGTCCTCGAAATAGATTGTGGCCGGGAAGCTATAACACCTTCTCTTCCGTTATAAAGAGACAATAGCTTGATACCAATAATAAGTACGACTCTACTGAGGCCTTTAAAATATTAATAGTCTTTTACAACAATCAATTAATTGCTGCGTGTTGGCAATATTCACTTATCAACCGTCAAATAAATCGACTTTCCCCTTAATAAAGGATTAAATCAAACATAATTAATTGCGTTTTATGTCTATTCAACTGTATATTAAAAATGATTCATGGTGCTTTGTCTATTCACCTTATTATCAGGTCAAATTCCAGAATATCGCCGGCAACAGATAGGTGTTCATGGGAAAGCTTCTCATTCATTTTCAATTTTGAATGAACCACCGTCTTAACTGCCTATTCGTTACCTTTTTGAGATTTATTGTCTGGTTAATTGACGAAACTGTCCCAGTTTGTGATCCTGTCACATGATATTGTTTCAGATTATCATCGTAATTATGTAACGTAACAAGAGTGATGATAGCGAACACTTTGTAATGGTATTTGAAAGGCATAATTTAAGTGTTGCTCTTCACGGAAAAGAACGTAAGATTATTCTATCTATTTCTGATGGCTGTAAACGTCTCATTGTGCCAAAAGGAACTATTAAATGTTCGCAAAGAGTTAGTAAGTAGTTTTGTATCAGCAGCCAAACAAATGATAACGTATGATATACATTAGCTCCATATGATTATTCATCAATCTGTAATTTAGAATGATCTAAAAGTTGACTGTCGAGTAATAGACTTTTTATAGGTGTGGGATTAAGAGTACAGATCTTTAATTACTAGAAGCTAGATCTAGATTTACATGATCTTTAAATTGGTCGTCTCAAATGGGTTAAACAAATTACTGCATTTACTGCAAGTATAAACAGTTTAATAATTGCTTAAATCTTGAAATAAAGAACATAGCCATCTTTAAAATTAATTATCATTATCATTAGACCTTCTATTAACCATAATCTTTATGGAATCATAAGCTGACTTAACATTAGCTTAATTTAACACATGTAGTATGTCATGTTACATCATAACCAATGCAATCTCATTATATGGCATTACATATACAGTACATGTAATCTTTGACAATTTTCAAGACAATGTCTTGTCATTAAGGCAGTGATACAAGACCCAGTATGAGCTGAGCGTATCCCAATGAACAGACAAGAGGTATATTCGAATAAAAGCGAATTACATGTAAGTATCAAAGACGTCTCAAAGTCCCGTATGCCTGTAAGTCCTTTGCGAAAATTGGAATTTCATTACAAGTTCAGTTTCGAGACATCTTTAAGCACTTGACTGGTCAGAATTAAGGAATAAACACTTGCTATATAACACGAAATGTAAATACATCCAATGATTATTTGCCTGTACACATTGATAGAGTAGCTTGATTCAGTTGTGGGCTGGTTTGTAGATTGTAAGTCGGTAGAGTCGTGATCAATAACCTGTTTGGAGTCGGGATTGAATTCATATAGTAGTATATTGAACACTGAGCCGAGCTATAACAGATATACATCGTTATACTGAAAGTATATTTAACTCTATTTCTAATGGTAGATGTATAGTGACGGATCTAACCACCGATGCAATGTAAGCGTTAGATTCTGTCTAAAAGTATCAGTGATCAGCGAATAATGAGAATCTGAATGTATGGAAAGGGTCATTTTCGATTCCACCACAGTGGAGTGTACATCGTTAATTTAGCTAAGTGGATTAGTTAGCTGTGTTTAAGAATGTGATAGGGAGTCATAGTGCCAGTTAACATGGCCGTTGTTTCGTTATTGAATCAGGCACCGTACCGTAGGACTCACAGTAGTAGAGAGCGACTGAACATCGCGGAAAGAGAAGATGAGTGGGACTCAAGGCACAATAATAATCATGCTCTTGAAAATAAAAGAAGTAGTGGATGTCGAGGAAATTTATCCAGGAACCACCAATGTTCGATTGATACATGTGATAGATTAGCAATAAATGTTAGTGGTATGCATTATGAAGCATTCCAATATGTGTTTGAAAGACACCCCTCAACCTTATTGGGGGACCCAAACAAAAGACAGCGATATTATGATCGAAGAAAAAGGGAATATTTTTTCGATCGTCACAGACCCACTTTTGAAGCAATATTTAACTATTATCAGTATGGAGGAGGAATTCGGAGACCGGAAACGGTTCCCGATGATATATTTTTAGGTGAATTGGATTTTTTCGAAATAGAACCAGAGGAGATCGACGCGTACCGAGCAGACGAAGGATACGTGGAGGAGACCATCTTGTTACCGGAAGGACCTATCCAGAAAAAAATTTGGATGATAATGGAGTACCCCGAAACGTCTCGATCTGCGTATATTGTGGCCATTGTATCGGTTCTGGTTACTTTAATTTCAATTGTTTTATTTTGTGTAGAGACGACACACATAGCCCAGGACGAATGTGAAGCGGGCGAACCGACGAACTTTACAGATCCTTTCTTCATCATCGAAACATTATGCACATTTTGGTTCACGGTTGAGGTCGTGATACGGATTATTGTGTGTCCTAGTAAGCCGATATTTTTTAAAGATTTTAAGAATTTGGTCGATATAACGGCAGTGATCCCGTATTATGTGACTTTAACCAATGTTTTAATCAGTATGACCTGTGATAGTGCCACTTCTAGCACGTCCTTAGCATTCTTAAGAGTTATCCGCCTTGTTCGAGTTTTTAAACTGACAAAACATTCTGCTGGACTCCAAGTTCTCATCATGACCTTTCGAGCCAGTTTTCAAGGCCTCCTTTTATTCCTTGTTGCCATGATTGTATGCATCCTCCTATTTTCCAGTGCAATTTATTACGCGGAGTTAGGAATCGACGAATCGCAAATTAATAGTATTCCCGATGGTTTTTGGTGGGCAGTTATAACTATGACAACTGTTGGTTATGGAGATAAAGTGCCCGTAGGTGTTTGGGGAAAATTAATTGGATCATTATGTGCCCTGGCAGGCGTCCTTACTCTTTCAATCCCTGTGCCCATAATAACTGAAAACTTCAACAAATTTTACGCTCATAAAACGGGTCGTGGAAGAATATGAGACTAAGTGTGACCGGATGTGAACTTTTCTTACCGTAACTACCTGTTGAGAGATGTGGCTGTGCTTGGTTTATCGACCGAGTTTGTTTTACATGATGTCGAACTTGTGGTACGACATTCATTTGTATTGTTATGATTGACGGGATCTTGCAAATTTCAGAAAACCCAAAGAAGAATGAAATACACCGTATTGTCGATTTGATTTGAACCCAATTTAGAGATGTTGGTTTTAATTTTGAACGGAGTTTTTTGTTTCATTCCATAAAATTTGTGATAGAATTTTCCATTTCATCCTCTTTGTGATTTTTTTTTTCAATTTTAAGAAAATTTTCCAAATTTTGTCACCTCTTTCACTCTTCACAGAATTCACTCTTATTAAGTAACATTTTGTTGATAATTACTCTTTCCCTCAAGATTACTTAGAGGAATTTTCTATCTTTTCACTTTTTTGCAATGTTTTTCAGTAGATACTAGAAAATATCTGCACGATTCCTACATTTTTTCAGAAATTTCCAAATTTACTATTAAGCATGATTAACTTTGGGTAGATTGAAAGTAGACTAATTTGGATATATTTGCAAATTTTCTTAGAATTGTTTTAATATTTCAAGTGTTTAGTGTGTATAGCTTTGGAATTGAAATTGTAAATGTGTGTCGATAGGGATTATCCCCCTTTGTGGATTAATCGGATTTATTTAGAATTTGTGATATATAGGATAACGACTATGCACACGATAATATTGTCAATGTGGTTTTCAGTTTGTCTATGCACACTGGTGAAGTGGTTTCCAGTAAGAACGAGTTTTTCTCCTTTTTTCATTTGGATTTATTAATGAAATCAAATAGTGTCTTATTGGATACGTTCTATGCAAACTAAAACACACGGGTGAGTTAAAGGACTTTTTAACCTTTAAAGAACTTCCATATTTATACTCGCCTCGTTTTCACTCTTAGAATTAGCATCCCAGACGTTCGGTCGACTCAATAACAATGTAAAAATCCATAGTAACACATATCTAATATTGACAACTCAATTCACTGAACACTAATCCTGATTGAACACTATTAAGCTTTGTTCATAGAATCGTAGACCTTGACCCGTGTTCCCGGTAGTAATAAGAATAGAATTTCCTCTACCTTTATATACCGGAAGTGATTTAGATTGTTATTGAAAGGTATCATATCGAGGGAGTTGATTATTCCAGGATCATTTCAATAGATTGTGAAATAATTGGCCGTGGTCAAAGTCACAATATTTAAAACCTCCTGAGCAGATTTAGGATTGACTTATATTGATCTTAATAATGCGATTTATTTTTCACTTTGGATACAAAAATTTGCAATAGATTACTGAGAGATCGAATCGCCATAATGCAAGAGTACGAACATTTCTCGAAAGATGGTCAGGAATGACTTTGGCGACTGCTCACAAGAGTCGCAGTGAGACGGCTGCATTGTTTTAGGATTCCTCGCCAAAAAAGCAATCGTAATACGTTAGAATCATCTTTAGCTCTCTCGGGGCTTTGTTAAGAAGTGCAACAAATTTCATTGATCTGTGTTTTCACGTCTGTTTGAAATATAATTTAACCTCAGTAAAAGAAAATATTTATTTCTTGGGCCTGAGCTTAGACTTTATCGATACATTCAATTTATAATCGGTTTATCTAGAAAGTAAATGAACACATATGTAGTAATAATTGGGCTCTGAACTATGTTTTGGTCCAGGCAATGATACATTTAGTATGGGTTGGTGGTCGAAGGAAACTCTACAGAGACATGCAGTTGCATTTTATTTGTTACGAATGAGTCCAGTTAAAATAGGAATATTGTCAATAGAACAATTAGATAAAACTGATTTATCGTATAAGAGAAAACATCATTTCGACGTAGCAGCTTCTAATTAAATAAGGCCTTAATTAAAGTTCTTCTATAGCGTGTTTACGTTAAAATCAAACCGGATATACGCCAGGGATCTTCATAATTTCTAGTACCAATTACATATTGTAATGTGGAACACTCCACGGTATCGAACTTAACTTGAAAATAATTTCGCAAGCTTCTTTTCCTCGAGGAATAATTCAAGGTTTAAATCCACATGACTTCAGCGTGACTAGGCTCGTATTGGCTTGTATTGTTTAGAATTTTCCAAATTATTTTTTTTTTGCTTTGAAAACATGCGCAATATTTGCATCATTCCTATTATTTGATAGTGATGTTAAGAAATCGTTCTCCAAGTTCAATAACTCCTTAATCAATATATGAGTCACCCTGTTGTTTCCATTGCCTGAAACAAGATTCTTATTGACTCGATTCGACGACTGGGATGTCTTAGAACAAATAACTTCTTTTGTTTTTAAAAATTTATTGTTTGACTTCGTCACGCCATTCTGGATTGTTTCATTCATTGGAGGATTTCAATAAACACGACTTATTTTGATTAAACTTATTGACTCATAGATTGTCCTAGTCGATATCTATAAGAATAGAGTTAAAGGGATTGTAAAGAAGTTTTCTAAACTTTTTATGTCGGGGACACTGATAGCATCAATTTGCACCATTCCAATTTTCAATCAGAACAGTTCCACTAAAATTAAGTGTTTGATGACTAGTGAAATTGCAGGAAGCACATACGTCTGATTGAAAATTGGAATGGAGTAAATTGATGATATCAGTGTTCCCGGTACAATTACAAAATTGAGTAAACTTCTTTTAATCTTGTAAGCTAGATTCAGGGGCGGGGGGCGGCGCAGTCTAGGTGGCGGAAAACAGACTGCGTTACTAATCTTAATTCATCTAAATGATAGGAGAGGAGCGATATTCAGGTCAGATGGAATATCACTCGTCTAAATTCATTCTCTTTGATGATTTTCAGATCATCGAACGGTAAAGTAGTCCGGAGCATTTTTGTGGGAGGGGGGGGGATTTCGTCAATATGCCTATTTTGGAACGTTGTATTAAAAGATTGATGCTTTGTGCAAAATATGAGAAGGTCGTTGTTGATTTGGTAAGGGGAGATTGTGGTTGAAATAAGTGATATCGGAATAATAACCTAATTACATAAGGATGCGGGTTCATCCAATAGAATTTTCAATAACTTCTCAATTTTCGAATCAATCCAAGATGGCGTGAATGAAGCCTTGATTGTTATAATTTAAAATCTTGTGTCTATTACTATTATTATTACCTGCAATTAAATGATTATTAATTACTATTACGTCATTACATTCCAGGGTATTGCTTACCACTCTCTGATTTCTATGATACTACCTGCATTAATAGTAACTATGCCAGCAATCAGATTAGTTAATATTCAAACTTCAGTGATATCAACCAAACGGGATGTCTTGGCATTGTATTTTTCAACCTAATTAACCTCTTGCAGTCATGTTTCTGACCACAAAAATGACGAATATTACCAGGATCATTACGCAGTGTACTTTCACTCGTATCATGTATTGGGAAATTTTCGGTATCAGTTTTACTGACAATCTAAATATTCTCTGAATGAAAACAATTTAGTACAGGTATCAATACGTCGTCTTGCAAATACCCGGGTCACATCACCACTCGATACCGATCTCATGGCTCCGAGTTTCAAAGTTTGTTGCAGTCCTTCTGAAAACTACATCAGAGACATGTACTCATCATAGTGTATATAATCAAACTATGTTACGGCACGTTTCACTTCCTCAACGTGACAATCATAATGATCAAAGCCAGACATCCAAATTAAATTTCCACCAATGTTTTCACATCAGAGCATTCTAAATATTACACGACCATAATATCTTTTAAACAATAACCTTGACAACTACCTAATCAGTTGCTTCTGGACTGGTTCCATATGCACTTGCCAGGGGTGAATTCAAAATTTGCGGGGGTTAAATTTGGAATGAGGGGGAATTTGGGGTGATTTATACAATATATGGGGGAATTTTGTGAATACGGAGGAAATGAGCAACAGCGTATGTGCTTCTTTTTGCTTTACAAAGAAATCATAGAAATATGTCAAAATTAGAGCACAAAACTTGCTAAATTCGTATCTTGTGGTTTTGCATTAAGAATGATATCAAGTATCTTGACAAAGAAAAAGAAACAGTCTGGACGTGGCGATCTACGTCTGAAATTTACAAAGCTAGTTCCAGATGTAAAAGCCATTGTTCAAGCACATCAATCACAAGGTTCCCTCTGAAGGGTCTTGACATCTCCGTTGCGCGTCATGTATAAAACCGTGGCCTGTGTTCTTAACATATAACTTGCTACCTTACTAGTTTTTTAGTTATTTTTTTAGTTATATGATGTTGTACAGCCCCTGGGGTGAATGACGGAAATTTTTTTTCTCAAGGAGTGAATTTGATCATAAAGGATGAGAAGCATTGACCTAGAACAAACTGTGTCAAATTCTGTAATGTTAATAAAGCGTGTATAGCAGGTATGAAAAGAGATATCACCTGCAATAATAATGAAAGTAGATAAAAACTGACACTCAAAAGCTATTCTTTAACTTCTGTTTCTAAACCAACATCAAACTTCATTGACACTGAATAGCGTATTCAGTGAAGAGACCCATATGGTGCACTAACACAACGTACACCTGTGGATATATAATATATGTATATAATGGTAAAATATAAGCCTACAATATGTCAATAGTATATATTATGGTGGTATGATTTACGGCTTAGTAGCTTATATCTATCCATTTTGTATACAACCTTAGATGCAAAAAGTGCAATAAATCAATAAGTAACTACTAACTACAACAATATTCATGATGATAAGTCAGCGTTTTGAAGAGGTGGTTCAATGTATTTCGAAATATTGTAGCAGCAATGTTAAGGTTTAGGCAGTGGCGTTTTTGTGAATCATGAGGTGAAGGGACCGAGACGGGGCAACAGATTTTTTAAGGGGAACCAAGGTATTTAAGAAATCAATATCAAAAAATTTGAAATTTGGGGCCAAAGCCTAATTTCTTCAAACGTCATAATTGCGGCTATTATA